TAGCAGCTTATCGCAGCAAACATACATTTCTCACCCACGTTACAATATTACCCAAACATTTGTGGGTAACTACTGTGACTCTTCTCCACATGTATTCTTACTCTGCAATCTAAGTAGAGAGAATTGCCCCTATCTTGGATATGCCATTTTTATGACAGAGGAAAAGAGCAAGAGAGGTGGTAGAAATATATGACTCAAAACTTTTGCTCAGAACTACCATATATACTATCATGTTGTACTGCAAAATTATCCAACACAATGAAATAAGAATTACATCCCTCACGCAAAAAGACTAACAGGGACCATTTCAATGGGTAGGAATATATGAGTCTCGTGTAGGGGTGGCAAATGATTGTGTTTTGAAGAATAATAAGATCTACCACAGAAACATAGCTACAAATAACTTTTGTCAGGAGCCAGGATTACATGACTTCAGAATAATAATAAGGTGTGGCATGTAATTAAATTAATATTATAAATCTATGAGAGTGAGAGAGGGGACAGAAATCTAAAATGAGAAACACATGAAAAAAATTTGATTTCTTAAATGTCTAAGAAATTTGAGATGTGTCCCAGTAAAATTCTAGAGCATATTTTTCAAAGCATATTTAAAGAACACTGAGAAGCAAAAAGACTAATCGTCTGGAACCAGCATGGTTCATGAAAAACAAGTCATGCCAAAGTTTGTTGGTATGGTACAGTGTGTCAGAATTTCAGAAGGCATCTAAGAGATTTTCTCATGATAATTTTGGATTCGAATCCAATGAAATAAACTGTCATTCATTCACTTCTCAAATGTTTTCATATTTTCTACAAAAATTGCATGAGAAATTCAGGCAATTCCTTTTGAAATTCTGATACATGATTTCAAAAACCTTGAAATAGGGAAATAAGAGAGAAGGGAAAGCAAACTCAAAAAAAGAGAGGCAATGATAACTTTAATGTTAAGTACTGGAGTATTAGGCCATAGAGTATTAAGATCTCCCCTTTCAAAACATCCTGGAGATTTGTAGTAAGGCTGTAGGTGGAGCAAACTGACTCTAGGGAGAAGGCAGGCTTGATGACTTGGTACAGAGAGCCTGAGAATCTTAAAAAATAGCCACAGTCTGATCTTACCAAAATTCCACATTTAAGAGTCCATTAGCAGTAATTAGACATTATGAGGTGAGGAATTTCAGATAATTTAACTCAATACACATCCTTATTGATTAGCTACGCTGAAGATCCATTTGTTCACAAGTCATTTCCTTTTCAAGATTCCATGAAACTATAATGTGTTTGTATTATGTAACACTTTTATCATCTCCTCCACTGTTTCCTTTTGTATTTCCTTACTTTTTTTTTTTTTTTTACATTGCATCTGTTTACTTGCTTTGATTGTTTCCTTTACCAATAATTATTTAATTGCAAATTCTGGATACTCATCTTCTAGTTAGTATTCGCTCACCATCACCCTCCTTATAGATGACTTTGCTTAATTTAGGAGGATGCCTTTGTGAAAGTGAAAACTTGAAACATTAAATTTTAAAAAATGTTATTTTTCTTTTCCTCCAATATTTCTCAGGCTTTTGAACTTATAACAAGACTACCTTCAAATTGCACAATTTTTGCAACAAGAATTTAAAAAGTTTTTATGAAATGATTTTTAGATCTTACAACTTCACTGAATTCATTTATTAGTTCTAACATATTTCTTTGTTAGAGTCTTTAGGGTTATTTTTTATCATTATACCTGAAGTTATGGAATAGATGGACAGAATGTGCAGGTATACACATGCCATGGTGGTTTGCTGCATGCATCAACCTGTCATCTACATTAGGTATTTCTTCTAATGCTATCCTTCCCCAATCCTCCCACCCCCTGGCAGGCCCTGGTGTGTGATGTTTCCCTCCCTGTGTCGATGTGTTCTTATTGTTCAACACCCATTTATGAGTGAGAACATGCAGTGTTTGGTTTTCTGTTCCTGTGTTAGTTTTCTGAGAATGATGGTTTCCAGTTTCATCCATGTCCATGCAAAGGATATTAACTCATATTTTTTATGGCTGCCTAGTATTCCGTGGTGTACATGTGCCACATTTTCTTTATCCAGTCTCTCATTGATGGGCATTTGGGTTGGTTCCAAGTCTTTGCTATTGTGAACAGTGCTGACATAAACATACATGTGCATGTGTGTTTGTAGTAGAATGATTTATAATCCTTTGAATATACACGTGTAATGTGATTGCTAGGTCAAATGGTGTTTCTGGGTCTAGATCCTTGAGGAATTGCAACACTGTCTTCCACAATGGTTGAACTAATTTACACTCCCACAAACAGTGGCAAAGCATTCCTCTTTCTCCACATCCTCTCCAGCATCTGTTGTCTCCAGATTTTTTCATGATTGCCATTCTAATTAGTGTGAGATGGTATCTCATTGTGATTTTGATTTACACTTCTCTAATGACCAGTGATGATGAGCTTTTTTCATATGTTTGTTAGCTGTATAACTGTTTTCTTTTGAGAAGTGTCTGTTCATATCCTTCACCCACTTTTGAATGGACTTGCTTGTTTTTTTCTTGTAAATTTGTTTAAGTTCTTTGTAGATTCTGGATATTAGCCCTTTGTCAGATGGGTAGATCGCAACAATTTGCCCCCATTCTGTAGGTTGCCTGTTTACTCTGATGATAGTTTATTTTGCTGTGCAGAAGTTCGTTAGTTTAATTAGATGCAATTTGTGAATTTTGGCTTTTGTTGCCATTTCTTTTGGACTTTTAGTCATAAAGTCTTTGCCCATGCTTATATCCTGAATGGTATTGCCTAGGTTTTCTTCTAGGGTTTTGATAGTTTTAGGCCTTACATTTAAATCTTTAATCCGTCTTGAGTTAATTTTTGTGTAGCATGTAAGAAAGGGATCCAGTTTCAGCTTTCTGCATATGGCTAGCTAGTTTTCCCAACACCATTTATATTTATTATATAGGGAATCCTTTCCCCATTGCTTTTTTTTTTTTCTCAAGTTTATCAAAGATCAGATGATTGTAGATGTGTGACATTTCTTCTGGCACCTCTGTTCAGTTCCATTGGTCCATATATCTGTTTTGGTACCAGTATCATTCTGTTTTGGTTACTGTAGCCTTGTAGTATCATTTGAAGTCAGGTAATGTGAAAATTCTTTTCATCAAAAATTAATTCCATAAATGTTAATGAGTCTAATCCCACTGTATTTGTACTGATGATTCTTATAGATAGAAATTAATAAAGCAAGTGTCCAGAAGTGGGGGAAGCATATATGTAAACAAATAAATTATAATGTTATTACTATGTTAAGTAAAAAGAATACATTAAATGAGAACTGTGTTAATGTAGGAAGTTTTTGAATATTATCAAAAGAAGGCAACATTTCAGCTTCCTATTATTGCTAAGCTATATTGAATGTTAAGTATGTAGAAGATGTAGATATAGGCCTTTTTCATGCTCTTTTTAATCCTCATAATAATCCTATGGGTTATTTTATTATTAATTTAAAGAAGGTGATACTGAGTTTAATGCTAAGCAGCTAGACCAATGACACACTATTAGTACATATGAGAAGAGGGATAAGACAAAGACCAAATGTCTCCAGAGTCAAAGATGTTTCACTTTAGGAACATTCCAGAAGGATAAATTTTGAGATCATTTTCAAGTGGAGAATGAACCATTTATTTATTCAGTTTTTCATTCTATAAACATTTTCCATCTCTTAAGTTCTAGGCTCATGGATTTGAGGATATATAAATGTTAAACTGGCCTTACATTCCTGAATAAATCCCACTTAGTCATGATACATAATTTTAACATCTTATTTATTTTATACAATATTGTATTTAATTCCCTAGGTTTTGTTTAGAATTTTTGCATCAGTGTTCACTAAGGATATTGGTATGTAGATTTGTGTTTTATTTCATTTTTATTCTTTTTCTCAAATTTTCATATAATGGTAATTTACTAATAGAATGAGTGAGAGGAATACCTTCCTTTTCAATTTTCTGGAAAAATTTGTGTAAAATTAATATTATTTTGTCTTTAAATATTTGTTAAAAATTACAAGGGGGACCATCCAGACCTGAGGTTTTTCTTATAAGAGGATCTTAGCTATAATTTCAATTTATTTTATAAACCTAGTGATATTCAGGTTATTTCTTCCTGAGGGAGCTTTTGCAACTTCTGGCTTTCAATGACTTGTTCATTTAATCCAAATTGTAAATTTACTTTCTTATTATAGAAAGGATAGACCTATTCTTACTATCAAACTGTAACTTTGTACTTTCTTTTCTCTCTCTCTCCCTAGGGACTTAAGTATCTTTTTATATCTATTTCATCTTCAAACTTTTATTAATCTTTATGATTTATACTATACATTTATACTATACATCTAAGGTTTACACTATCATCACATCCGTTATTATAGTCCAATGTTAACCTCTGAATATCTTTAGAACATGTATTGAAACAATGTCTCTCATTTTGGATATTAGTCACAAGAGTTTTTGCTATTTCTTGTTAGTTGCTCTGATCAATGGTTTGTGGACATTTTTTTGTTAATTCAAATAACCAGCATTAACTTTTTCTGATTTTCTGTTTTTCTGTTATTTCACTGATTTCCAAACTAATCTTTATCATTTTCTCTTTTTAATTTTTTTATAATTGACACATAGAAATTGTACATGTTTATGGGGTTGAGAATTGTGTTTCAATACATGTATACATTGTAGAGTAATCAAATCAGAGTAGTGAGCATACCTGTAACCTCAAAGATTTATCATTTATTTCTGGTGATAATTTTCAAGATTGTCTTTTTATCTTGAAATATAAAATATATTGTTAGTCAATGTCAATACATTACAGTCAATACATTATAGTCATCCTACTATGTAATATCAGAACTTATTCTTACTATCAAAATTTGTACTCATTAATAATCCTCTCCTCATTCCTTTACCCCTCTCCCCTCCCAGACTTTGACAACCACTGTTCTATTCTCTACTTTTATGTGATCAGCTTTTTAGATTCATCATATGAATGAGGTCATGTAGTATTTGTCTTTCTGTGCCTGGCTAATTTTTCTTAACATTATTTCTTCCAGTTTTATCTATGTTCCCACAAATGACAGATTATATTCTTTTGTATGAATAATATTCCATTGTATTCCAGTACCACATTTGCTTTATCTATTGATAAACATTTATCTGTTGATGAACATTTAGGTTGTTTCCATCTCTTAGCTATTGTGGATAGTGATGCAATAAACATAGCATGCAGATATCTCAACTTACTGATTTAATTCATTTGGATATATATACAGTAGTAAATTGTTGGATCATATGGTAGTTCTATTTTTAGTTTTTTGAGGAACCTTCATACTGTTATCCATAACAGCTGTGCTGAAATACATTGCACCAACAACATGTAAGAGTTCCTATTTCTGATTTTTATCATTTTCTTTCTTCTACTTACCTTGGATTTAATGTGCTCTTCTTCTTGTAGATACATAAAATTGAAGCTACAGTTATTTATTTGAGAGCTTCTTCTCTAGTTGAGAGATATATTGTTATAAAATTTCTTATAATTACCACAAAAGTTAGTGACTTATCATAAATTTATATCAAAATTAATATTTCCGCTAACATTACATTAAAATACCTTGTGTTTCACTAACATACAGTCCGAGATACTATCTACTATCCCTTTATATTTCTTCTTATGAGTTCTTTAGAAATATTTTTAGTTTCCAAGTATCTTAGAATTTTAAAAATACCTTTTCGTTATTAATTCTTAATCAGTAACATATTGACAGTGATCTGAGAACATATTATGATATGACTTGAAAAAATGTATTGAGACATGTTTTGTCCCAGAATATGATCTGACTTATTATAGTTACAGGTGCACTTGAGAAGAATACATATTATACTGTTTTTGGGTAGAGTGTTCTCGAAAGTTCATCTAGGTAAATCACTTGATAGTGTTCCTTTCTTCTATCACCTGATTTTCTTTTTTAAAATCTACTTGTTCTATAATTTATTGATATACGTATATTGAAAACCAAATAAAATTTTAATTATTAAATTTCCGTTTGCAAGTCTATGTCTTATGTATCTATATTTGCTTTATGTGTTTTGTAATTCATAAACATATAAATGTTTAGCATTTTTATGTACTCGACTAATTGATCTTTTTATCATTATGAAATACCCCTTTACTCTGGTGATATTATTTGCTGTTAAATCTACTTTGTCTGATATTAATGTAGCCACACCAGTTTTCTTTAATGTTAACACGGCATATGTTTTGTCACATTTTTTACTTTTGACCTAGTTTTTTTCTTTGCATTCAATGTAGTTAGCATTTTGCTACTACTATTTATCTACAATTTCTATCTATTATATAGTACCTAATATATGTAGGTAGCATACAGTTGGGTCTTGATTTTCATTCTACCTGACAATCTTTGCCTTTTAATTTAGGTGTGTAGATCATTTATATTTAAATGGTTAGGTTTAAGATTATCACCTTGCTATTTGTTTTCAACCTGTTTCATCTCTTGTTTATTTCCTTCTTCCTATTTCTCTTTCCATTTCTTTCTTTATCTTTCTTTCCTTCCTTTTCCTTCCCTCCCTCCCTTCCTTCCTTCCTCCCTCTCTCTCTCTCTAAGTATGTTTTTATATCTATTTCATCTTCAAATTTTTGTTATGTTTATTTTAATCTTTAAGATGTATACTATATATCTTTATGCTTTGGAACATTTCAGTAGAAGACTGTAGCATCTCAATAGCTGTGGGTAATGTTCTTATACTCAGAAATATATTGGCTGAAGATAGATTTCAAATGTTTCTCCATCTCATTCCATTCATTCAAATGAATACCAGTTTCTGTTCATTTTATATACAAGCTATAACTTTTAGTTATTATTTCAGGTATTATTACTGTACAATAATTTAACTTCAAATTTTGTGTCCTAATCTTACTGACTGATTTGTGTCTCCTGAGTCTCAAATTCACATATATAATCCTTAATGCCACATACTTCTTAATGTTACTGTATTTGGAGATAGGGCCATTAAAAAAGCCATAACAAAGGATGAGTTCATGTTCTCTGCAGGGATATGGATGAAAGTAGAAAGTATCATTCTCAGTAAACTGACACAAGAGCAGAAAACCAAGCACCTCATGTTCTCACTCATAAGTGGGTGTCAAACAAAGAGAACACATGGACACAGGGAGGGGAACATCACACACTGGAGCCTGTCAGAGGGTGGGGGTGCTGAGGAGGGATCTCAGGGGGTGAGGGGATTGGGGAGGGATAGCATTAGGAGAAATACCTAATGTAGATGGTGGGGGAATGCAGCAAACCACCAAGGCATGTATATACCTATGTAACAAATCTGCTGTTCTACGCATATACCCCAAAACTTACAGTATAATAAAAAATAAGTAATTAAAGTGAGTCATTAAGATTGAACCCTGATTCAGTCTGACTATTGTCCTTATAGAGGAGATTACAATATGCAGAGAAATAACAGGTGCATGTGCGCTCAGAGGGACAAGTGTATGAAGACGTAGCAAGAGATCAACCATCTGCATACTAAGGAGAGAGTCCTCAGAAAAACTAACCCCGTCAGCACCTTGATCTTGGACTTCCATCCCACAGAACTATAAAAACATATATTTCTGTTGTATAAACCTCCCAGCTTGTGTTATTTGTTATCAAAGCCCGAGCAAACTAATACAATTAGAAAACAACATTGATTATTTCTCACAACACTAGATAATAAATTTAGAAATTGCTTGCCTGGTAGTTTTCTGCTATGTGTATTCTTGTCTGGGGTCACTTAATCAGCTAGCAGCTGGCAGCTGCGCTTAACTAAAAAGTCAGTCATGACTTTGCTCACATGTCTGGTACTCTGATATTCCTTCAATTTCCCTTTATTTTCCATGTGTTTTCCCCTTATTTATTATTATAGTTTAATTTTCTTCAGAGCATGGTTACTGGATTTGCCAGAATGAAAGCATAAGCTATAGGTATCTACAGTACCCCAGATCTAAACTAAGACAACAGCACTTTTGCCATATTTTATTTGTTAAAGCAAGTCATCAATTTAGCCGAGACGTAAGGGCAGGGTGACAGGCTTTACTTGGTTGGCGATGTGGCATTATACGGCGAGAAGGCATGTATGGTGGTGTTCTTTAAAAACTGTGTTACAGGATCATTCTTTTCTTTTTTTCTTTGTGCATAGCAAAACTTAATGCTATTTCTAGAGCAGACTCAAGAAAAATATATTATTCTCCATTTACATAAAAACAGATTCCAACTTTAGTTATTTAGAAATGCTAATTCCTAAAGTAGCAGTACACATTATTAACACTCTAGTAATTCACTCCAGAACAATTCTGGGATGTTAAACAATTAAGACTCACCTCCTAAGTATCTCTTCATGTAAAAACCTCATCATTCAGTATGTAACTTGTCACTTCTGATCTGTTTCCTCTGTTGTGATGTGGAGCTTAGTTTGTATTTTTCTCATATTTGTAACCAACCCAAATAAAAATGAATTGCTATTTTTTCTTTTACTTTCAGTTTTCATGTAACAATTATACAAATTTATGAAAATACTGAGTGATATTTTCCTACATGCATACCATCAAATCAGGATAATTAGCATACCCATCACTTAAAATATTTATCATTTCTTTTAGTGAACATTCAAAATCCTCTCTTCCAGGTTTTTGAAATTATACAATAACCTCTTGTTAACTATGTTCATCCTGAAGTGCTATGGACCGCTAGAACTTACGGCTTCTTTCTTGCTTTAATTTTGTGCCTGTCAATCAATATCTCCCTGTCCTCCCCTCCTCCCTACCCTTCCGAAACTGTAACAACCACAATTTTATTGTCTACTTCTATGAGCTCAAATTTACTTTTGACCCCCATATGATTGAGAACATGGAATACTTACCTTTTGGTGCCTGAATTTTTTCACTATGCTGTCCTCCTGGCTCATCCATGTTATCACAAATGATGAGATTTCGAACATTTTTGTGATTGAATATTATTTCATAGTGTGTGTGTTTTTTTCTTACCACCACATTTTTCCATCCATTCATCTACTGATGGACACTTAGGTTTGTTTCATATCTTGGTTATTGTGAATAGTGCTGCAATAATGAACATGGAAATGGATATATCTCTTTGATATATTAATTTCCTTTTCTTCGGAAAAATATTAAGTTATAGGATTTCTGGATCATATGGTAGTTATCTTTTAATTTTTTTTTAGAAATCTCCATACTGTTTTCCATAATACATATACTAATTTACATTCCAACCAATAGTGTATAAGAGCTCCCTTTGACTGCACCCTCACCAGTATCTGTTATTTTTTGTCTTTTTAATAATAGCCATTCTTCTGTTTTTTTGTGGGAAAAGAAAAAAGAAAAAAATAATAGCCATTCTAACTAGGGTGAAACAATATCTCATTATGGTTTTAATTTGCATTTTTCTGATAACGTGATGTAGAGAATTTTTTCATATATTTGTTGGCCATTTGTATGTCTTTTTTAAAGAGATGTCTATTCAGTTCATTTGCCCACTTTTAAATTAGATGATTAGTTTTTGTTGTTGTCATTGTCGCTTTTTTTGCTGTTGAGTTCCTTATGTATTCTGGATATAGGTTTTTATTGGATGGATAGTTTGCAGTTATTTTCTTTTCTACAGATTGTCTCTTCACTCTTGTTTCCTTTTCTGAGCAGAAACTTTTTAGTTTGATATAGACTTATTTAAACATTTTTAGTTTCGTTGCCTATGCTTTTGAAGTTTTTCCAATAAAATGTTCGCCTAATTGTGTCCTGAATCATTTCTCTCATGTTGTTTCTTAGAAGTTTTATAGTTCGGGGTATTATGGTTGTCTTAATTTATATTCAGTCGATTTTTGTATATGGTGATCTATAGCAGTCTAGTTTCTTTCTTTCTTTTTTCTTTTTTTGCATATCTATATTCTGTTTCTCAGTACCGTTTATTGATAAGGCTACATTTTTCCAATGTATGTTCTTGGCACCTTTGTCAAAAATTA